GGATGGTTGTGAGCCACCATGTGGTTGCTGGGAATTGAACTCCAGAACTCTGGAAGAGCAGTCAGTGCTCTTAACCTCTGAGCCTTCTCTACAGCCCAGGTTTCCTTTCTTTATTCTTTTCTTTTTTCTTTATTTTTCTGAGACAGGGTTTCTCTGTGTAGCCGGGCTGTCTTGGAACTTGCTCAGTAAACCAAGCTGGCCTTGAAATCACAGATCGGCCTATCCGTGCCTCTGAAGTGCTGGAATTAAAGGCTTAGTTAGGGTTTCTGTTGTTAAGAGACATCATGACCAGCACAACTCTGGGGTCAGACAGGAAAATCCCACTACAGAGTACTAGGGACTCAAACAGAAAAGGGTGTGTGTGGAAAGGAACAGAGGAATGAGGAGAAACATGACTGAGCACATTATATGCATAGGTGACAAGGTCACATGACACTACTCTGCACAATATGCTAATGAGAGCAAATGCAGAGCAGAGCTGATGACCCTCGTGGTCACGAGCCTCATTCTCAAGTCTTAGGCTGTCATGAGTAGCAGGGCTGTTTTTCTCTCAGCACCTGGCTCACCCTAGAGCACAGGTTGAGGGTAATTTTCTCTATGGCTTGGTCTTTATCAAGTTCTCACCGTGAAATGAGCTCCCTGCCCAAATTTCCCATCTGCTGGGCCAGGCTTCCCCTTGCTTTGGGTCTGAGGGAATCCACTCTGCATGTGCTCACATCCAGACCACACACTGGGCAGAAATGACACTGGTGGTCACAAGGCCAGAAAGGGTGCTCACAGGTCATGCTATAGACTCAGTTGTTTTTCAGGCAACACTAACATCACCAGCTTCTTCAGGCAAGAGAAGTTTTGGTTAATCCAAGGCTCTGGGCTTTCATCAGCTGCAAGAAACAACAGTGTAGAGGATGACGAGTGTTTATTAGGTTTTCAACAGTGCTGTGTGGCCAAGGCTTTAATAGAACTTGGCTTTCTGTCTTCTTACATTGACACCCTCCCAACCATGGGGACTCTGTTCATGGAGAATTGGATTTGGCCGATTAAAACATTTGGTATTTTCTTTTAGGGGGCAGGACTGTAACTTTAGGAATTTTATGCTTTGGAGAGCTTGGTCTTGAGAGATTTCAATATTCGAGTCTCTAGTGTTCAGAAGTGGGGCTCAGGATTATGAGTGTAGCATCCCACACGGTGCTCACACAGTCTGGGACTCTGCTTGCAGACACTTTATTGTAAAGCACGTGAGAGGACACAGAACAGACCTATGACCCTAACAGTGGTGGAGATGGGACTTGGGTCACAGCAGTCAGTGAATGGAGGGTTGGTGTTTACTGAGAACAGCTCTCCAGGAGCTCTCTTCCCCCACAGGATATCCCAGTGTTTCCTCAGCCTTTCCTGGGTCACTGTCACAGTCAGGATTCTCTAGCACAACAGAACTTATAGACTGAAGCTATCTAGATATGTATCCATCTGTGCATCTATGTATCCATCTGTGCATCTATGTATCCATCTGTGCATCTATGTATCCATCTGCGCATCTATGTATCTCTCTGTGCATCTATGTGTCTATCTGTGCATCTATGTATCCATCTGCAATTCTATGTATCTGTCTGGGCATCTATATATCTATCTATAGAAAGGGGATTAATTAGAATAACTCACAGGCTGTGGTCCAGCTAATCCAACAATGTCTGACTATAAATAAAAAGACCAAAAATCAAGTAGTTGCTCAGTCAGTCCACCAGGCTGGATGTCTCAGCTGGAATCCTGAAGAAGTCGGCTCTAATGCCAGGGAAGGAATGGACTTGCTAGTGAGGTGAGTTCTAGGAGGCCAAGAGAAAAATCTTGCTTCTTTCATGTCCTTGTATAGACTTACAGCAGGTGTGGCCCAGATTAGAGGTGGCTTTCTGCAGCTCAAATGATCTGGATTAGGGGTGTGTTTTCCCAGCTCAAAGATCCAGATCAGAAATTGACCTTCTGACTTCAAATTAAGCAAACATCCCTCACAGGGGTGTCCTCCATTTTTCAGTGTTAGTTATTTACAGATATGCTCAGGTTGACAACCAAGAATAGATGTCCTATTTTGTTTCAGAGTTCTGGAAACTTCCCTGGTTCCAAGCTTTTTAGGTCTTTTTGGCCCTCATGGCTCTGCCTCCTCCCTACCCTCTTTCAAGAAGTTTTCTCTCACAGGTGGAAAAGGATGGAAAGTTCCATCTGGCTGTAAGTTTGACAAGGGCAGGACAGCCTCAGACCCAAGACCCTTGGAGTTGTATAGACAGGAGCCTGTGGCAGCTCAGACAGCCATGGTCCTCCTTTAGCTTTATCTCATGTGGGCTCAGATCAATCCTGTTTTTTCCCAGTCCTGTTTTTTCCTGTTTCTATTGCCCTAGACTCTAAGGCTTCTCTTTCTTCTTAGAAAGGAGAGATCCTGGACGGGCTGAAATGGGAGAGAAGATGAGGACGGGGACGTCACTAGCTACAGGAACTTTCTGGATGTTCAGAATGTTGTAATCTGTTACAATTAGCATTCAAGTGACTGACTGGAGTTTGTCTTGTTCAGCAGCAATTAAAAACCAACTCAAGAGGGCTGGTGAGAGGGCGCAGAGGTTAAGAGCACTGACTGCTCTTCCAGAGGTCCTGAGTTCAATTCCCAGCAACCACATGGTGGTTCACAACCATCCGTAATGAGATCTGGTGCCCTCTTCTGGTGTGCAGATATACATGACAGCAAAATATTGTATACAAATTAAATAAATAAAGTCTTTAAAAAAAAAACAACTCAAGGCTCAAGTGCAAAGATGAGCACATATGGTGTCTTCTTCCTGGAATGAGGTTGTGATTCACCGTGCACAGTAGGTCCATAAAATGACATCTTTCTGTGTTTTTAATTTTATACTGCTTTGCTATTTTCATTTCAGAACAGTCTATTTCAGACATTAATGTCTGTCCTGTTCCAGCTGTGACTTCACTAACAGGTGATTCAATGTTGACTAAACAGGACTGTGCCCTCAGTGTGGGTGTCACACTCCACAGATGTATAGGAGAGGAAGAGGGAGCAGAGCCATTGCAGCACTTTTCAAAATGTATTTTTAATTTAAATTTTTATTAGCTGTATTTGTGTGTGTGTGAGTGAGTGTGTGTGTGTGTGCGTGTGAGTGTGTGTGTGTGTACCTGTGTGTGTGTGTGTGTGTGAGTGTGTGTGCATGTGTTTGTGTGTGTGTGAGTGTGTTTGTGTGTGTTTGGGTGTGTGTGTGTGTGTCTTTGTGTGTGTGTGCAGGTGCACCAGGCACTGGATCCCATGGAACTGGAGTCACTGATGGTTGTGAAGTCCACGTGTGTGAAGGGAACTGAACCTGGATCCTGTAACCAGCAACAGTGCTCCTAACTCTAAGCCACCTCTCCAGCCCCCATTGGAATTTCACAGAAGGAAACCACACAGCCCGGCTCACAGCAAGATGGCTGACAAGATGGCTGATGACAGAACCTGGGTACAAAGGAAGAGACAGAGTCAGTGCAGAGCCAGAGTGAGAGGTGCTGGGCACTGATGGATGAGGCCTGAGGAGACAGAGAAGGGCAGAGCAGGAGGTGACAGAATAAAGGGGGGATCCTAATGGCCCTGCAGGGCGTCTCCCATTCCACACTGAATACTGTATTGTTTGAATGAGAAGGGCCACACAGGTTCAGAGGTTCAGATACCTCAGTTCTAGTTAATGGAACTGTGTGGGGAGGATCAGGAGGTGTGGCTCTGCTGGAGGAGGTGTGTTGATGAGGAACAAGTGAGATAGGTTATTAACTGGTAATTTATTGGGGAGTTATCCTCACAGGAGGAGTCAGTAGCCAGATTTGGCACTCTGAGAAGCCTGGTCCCAGATGCTTCCAAAGGCTGGCTGAACCGAGAGAGAGAGAGAGAGAGAGAGAGAGAGAGAGAGAGCGCGAGAGAGAGAGAGCGAGAGAGAGAGAGAGAGAGCGAGAGAGAGAGAGAGAGAGATTGAGCCCTGCTCCTTCTCGCCCTTTATCCTACACCCTTCTACATACCTGTGACCACGCCCAGCCAGGTGTGGTGATTGGTACAGATATTGGGATCTCTCCCTACAGTGTGTCACAGACTTGAGCTTACACTCAGACTCCTGGTGTTTTTTCCAGATGACCATCTGTGGCTCCAAGTGGTTGTGTTTTACAGGGATCTTCATTCCATAGTCCCCAGATTGCCTGTGTGGACCTGGGTCATCGTCTCAGCACAGTGGACCCCTTCTCCACTGGGGAGAGACCCGTGGATATCAGATACGGCAGGACACTGATCCTGTCTACACTCCATGTTTCCCTGTGTCACACATTTCCATGGCACAGTTGCTTTAGTGAATAAACACAGTAAGAGAGGAACTGTAACTACGTATAAAGAGAATAATGATGATAGTGTGTTAGAAGGCATATAACCTGTGACCCTCTCATTCTCTCTCCTTCCCCCCTCTCTATTTCTGTCTCTCTCTTTGAACATCACCCACACTTTATGAGCTGATGAGATGAGGAAGATGAGCGTCACAGGTTTGTGGGGCCCTGGATCTGATAACTGTGTTGGCTCCTGGGTTTCTCAGGCCTGTGCAGTGTGGACACTGGACAGTTGGTGATTCTCATGGCAGAGGTTCACACTGGGAATTGGAGGTTTTATCCTATTGTTCAGTAATGTGGAGAAAAACCAAACTTAAAATTTTTTGGTTTCAGTGCATTTTGATTTGTGTCACAAATACAAGCCACACGTAACTTAAGTAGAAAGTGAAAGCAGAGGAGAGTAGGGACTGCTTCCTGCACGGAGAGTCACATATGACACAGTGTGTCAGAAGGACTTGACCAGAGCTGTAAAACTCCAGTCACCTCCCATGCAGGTGTCCACACGGCGGCCCCACGCACTCACCCGGACTGTGACAGCATCTGTTTCCGTGAACATTCATTTTAAGTGCTGCATGTATTTTACCGGAATCCTCAAGCTCTCAGGTTTCATCCTGACGAACCTGACCAGCATTGGCCTTGGGCGGCTCAGAGACACCGGGACAAACCGCGCTGTGTCCCCAGCACAGGGTCAGACAAAGTCTTAGTCCCAGGCGGTGAGGTCCGGGGTGGGGACGCCCAGCGCGGGGATCCCCTGTCCCCAGTTTCACTTCTCCAGCTCCTGACCTGTGTCAGCTCCTTCTGCCCGGACACTGATGACAACTCGGCGGTTCTCACCCCCGTTAGGTGTCGAGATCCAGGGGAACCAACCAACGTCGCCGCGAGCACTGGTTATAAAGTCCACTCAGACTGCGGAACCCAGAAGCACAGATCTGAAATG